TGATATATTTAATATGGCATGTGCCCGAGCAGTGAGTGCTGTGTTTGTGTTTCCAGGTTAAACACGTATTTCAAGTTCTTCATCGTGAGAGACCCGTTCGAGAGGCTGATTTCTGCCTTCAAGGACAAGTTTCTGCAGAACCCCAGGTTCGAGCCCTGGTACAAACATGACATCGCGCCCGCGATCATCCGCAAGTACCGGAAGAGCCGCGCGGAAGCAACGGGGCTGCGCTTTGAGGACTTTATCCGCTACCTGGGCGACCCCGGCCGCCGGCGACTGGACCAGCAGTTTGGAGATCACATCATCCACTGGGTCACCTATGTGGAGCTGTGTGCTCCTTGTGACGTCAAGTACAGCGTGATCGGACACCATGAAAGTCTGGAGCGAGACGCCCCGTATATTTTAAAGGCTGCTGGTATCGACCATTTAGTTTCATATCCCACTATCCCCCCTGGCATTACCTTGTACAACAGGACAAAGGTGGAGAAATACTTCTCCGGAATCGGCAAAAGAGATATCCGTCGTCTCTACGCGCGCTTTCAAGGTGACTTTAGTCTTTTTGGCTACAGGAAACCTGATTTTTTATTGAACTAACCTAAATTAGATTTTTTTTTTTGGTGGATCTGTACGTTTCAGTATGGTATGGAATTAAAGACCAGATGGGAGGGGTATACTATTTGTTGCCTGACTAAAACTGCATGCTGTAATAATTCATGGTAAATAAGGAAGAGTTTTGTTTGGGCCCTTTTACTGCAGAATAGGAAACTCGTTTATTGTTCACTCTGACATGTGCTACAGCATGTCCTTGTGGAATACATCTGCATAAAGAGAGATCTGTTCAAGTTTATAGGATTACTGGAGGATACTCAAAAGATCCTTGCAACTTTGCTTTTCCCATATGTGTTGTATTTTAGGCAGTGTTTTGAAGTACTTGTAGCCATAACATGTTTCTTTATGACTGCAGAGGAGATATTGTAATAGTGGCTCATGCTAGTCAGTGAACCATAAAGATGTGTATTGCAGCTGTGTGGAGATTATCGCTTTCCAGTTCATAGAGATGTGTTGAGATTGACTTTATAATGAGGTAAGTAGTGAATGGCCTATAAGGACAATTTGATTCTCATCGCAGAAAAATTAAAATGGGATATTCTGTTCAGAAGGATTGAGAGAAGCAGCAAGCATGACTTGTTTTTTGACGCTCGGTGTTGGAAGAATTTATGACATGAAAGTAAGTATTCTCTAGGGAAGGCAAGTTAGTGATCTGGATGGGCCTTATGAACATGAGCTAATTAAATGTCTCCATGTCCCCGAACAACATTAGTTGATGCTCTTCCCACGCAGAAAGGTGGGAAGAGACATTTCAGCTGTGAAACCTTGTTCACACCCCTGAAGAAGGCTCCACCACGAAAACCTTTTTTTTTTTCTTCATTATACCTGCAGGGTGCCGTTAACCTCTGCCTGTTCCTCTGTAGCTTGCACAGCGACACGGCTCCCCGTTCAAACCTCTGAGCCGAATTATCCTGCCTTCTGATGTAGAGGATTGTTGTGAACTGGAAACCCTCAGAGATGATCCACTTATTAAAGCACCAACCTGCTGGATCGTGTAGGAAACATTTGTATCATTGCCTAACAAAATGAACCTTGTAGATCAGGGCTTGAGAAAGTTATTCGCAGTGCTCTTGGTATAGCTACCAAATAGCAGTCAGTGGCCAGGTCTTCTGTGTACAATCCTGTAGGTGATACTGATAACCAAATCTTTTCCATATGGCTACACACTTTAATAGAATTTTGTTCAAAGACACAAAAAACTAGAGAATCCTAACTGTGCAGTTGAATTAAAATAAACTTACAAATGCTGAGAATCCATGAGCGCTTATTGGAATCTTCTCACCTCGGGAGGTCTGACTGGATTTAAACCACTCATTTGCTCTTGGGGTTGACTTGTTAAAAATGAAATACAGCTACACCGTAGCTATCTTTGCAAGTCACTCTAGATAAGGAGGTCTGCGCAACAAATAAAGAATACCATTGCTGTGTTTGAACATCCCTGTGGCCCAACTTAACACTGCTCAAAGGTCTGCTCAACACTCACAAAAGCAGCTGTGTTCCTGTGCGCATACCCAAGGGGAAATGAATAACCAGAGCCTTTGTGAGAACAGCGCCGTGTAGGTGTGAGCTCTGTAGGCATGCTTTGCAGAGCAGCGTTGCGGTTTTTGGCTCAGGCCTCTCATTATCCTGCCTCTTCAGAGCAATGAGCATCTCTGTCACGCTGTGTGGGACAGAAGCAATGACGTGACTGTAGAGACGATTAGCTTACCGACGTGTTTGCTGGTTGGCCTTTCGAAATGCACATCTGTATTTGTGAAGGAAGAATGTGTGCGTCCGACAGCCCATTATTTTAGCCTGCAGGGGACTGATCCGTATGGAGGAGAAAGGGATGGTATGGCTGAGTCTGTAGGTCGCAGGTGCCAAATGAAGGCCTTGCCTTATGCACAGTCCAGCACTTCAGACACAACCTTTGACAGCAGTGGCTGTGACTGGGCCTCAGCTTTCCAGATACCGCTGTCCATTGATCATTTCACAGTAAGCAGAAGGGTGGTAGTGAAATGTATATCAAAGTTAAAATTATCTGGGGATGATTTCGCACTGTGGCATAGTTACAATGGTATGTAAAAAAAAAGGTATCGCCATTCATATTTTTTTTTTCATTTTTAGAATTATTTTTAAGCTGTCTTATTAGCAAACAGCGCACTTCCTGTGTCTCCTATACCGCAGTTTCTCATTACTGCCCACAGCGCAGAGTTGGGCGACATGGAGCCCTTCAGAGACCTCTCATGGGTCTGGCAAGGAATGCTTCTATTTCAAGAATAGCTTTCCTTTTAATCTGCGCTCTTCACCCACACCATGGTACTTCATCCTTTGAGGGTGCTCATTATTTTGTTGGTGTGCAGGATGTCATTTTTCTTTTCTTGCTGATGCTAATGTGGTTGATGGTCATCTGTGTCCCCTGGTGTCTCCATCCACAGTACGCCGTGTTCCAGTACTAGGGCGCTGCCTGTCCGGCGTTATCCGGTCTGCAGAGCCAGTCGCCTTGTTCGTCGAGGTACGAAATGCCTGCAGTTCTCCGAGATCAATCACCCCTTATCTCGTAATTACAAGATAGCGGTTATTACTTCAATGTGTGTACCGTACAACCGGTACCGTTGTGCACTGAACGCATCTGGAAGCCTCCGTGAACTCGGCGGGCACTTTCGGTTTAATGATTGGGTCGATGTCCAGCGCTGCAGAATTTGTACGGATTTACTTTCGACTGGGGTTTAATCATAATGATGTAGCAAATATGAACAGAATCATTATAAGCATGAGGGCCGGTTTTGTGGGATTTAGAGATCAAAGCCATGGTGATTCCGTTATGAACAGTTATACGTGCTATCAGTCCCACTGCTTAAAACTTCCGCAAGTCCGCAATACTAGAGGTATAATTAAATGACAATTGTGCCATCGCGTGATTACATAAAGAGACAATCTTCTCGTAATTACGAGAGGAGGGCGAGGATTTATTTTTCCTTTATGGCAGCAACGCGCTTCCGTACAAATATGAGTCAACCAGTGATTAGACACTTAATAACCGCCCTTAATTAGTGCTAATCCGTAAGCAGCGGGACCGTACGTGAAAGCTGCCTTTACGAAGGTCCTGTGGTTTTAATGAACCACATTGTGATTTAATGAATATCACATAGCTAAAAAAAAAACCTTTATTTTTCTTAAGACGCTGCAGCCAAACCACATGTACCGCGCGTGGACTGAAAAAAAGCTGCCGTCTGATACAGCTGAGTTGGTTTTATTGAAGACTGAAGTTTTTACCCCGTTTCGCCCACTTTTTAAATGGGTCAGTTCTCGTAAGACTTGGCAGTTTACCGCCCTGATAACGCTCGGGTCAGGACGCACGTGGTGACGAAGGTACTGTATAGGGTGGGATCCTTAGTTAAACTTCACAGGTTTTGTATTTTATGGTAAAAGTAAAATTGCTGACTGTAAAAATGTCACGCAGCTTTTATATGAACCAGCGATGAAAACGATCATTTGTTTTTACATGATCGGTATCGAGCCTTATCTTATTTCAGTCCTTCTTTTTATTTAATGTTGAGAGAATTATTTGCGCTCTCATTCGTTTAATTGCTTGAATACTCTAAAATATAAGGTCAATTAACTAATTCCCTGAATTTTAACCTTACCCCTCACCGTGTACAAGCGCGTAAGACGTGAAAAAGAAGTATGTTTTTAGGGCAGAAGCCAAGAGACCTACAGCGTGAGTCGTGCCGCAACCCTCAGCTCATCGCCAGCGCCCAGGTGTGGACAGTAAGACTCAGCTCAGGTATGATGGTTCTGTTGCCCACGGAGGCATGTGCACACGGGTCACATTACACAGTCCTGTGCTGGCGCGCTTCCAGGCGGACTCGGATTAAAATACAGGGTGTGTAGAATCCTTCCTGAAGCGCACTTGTTTTCAAAATGCTTAAGAAACCGGGCGCGTCGAGTCAGGAGACTACAGCTGTTTCGGTGTTTTTGCGTGCATTTAGTATTGTGAATAATGCGCTGGTTACTCAACATGAAATATCACACAGCTCGAGCGTTACCAGTGGGTGGTGGCAAATGGGAGACGTTTCAGATGTATTGCTTGTCCAGTTCACGGTCACCGAAGTCCGGGAAGCACTGGACGCAGGGCAGGACAGACTATGGACCGGACGAGAGTCCGGGCCAGGGCCAGTTTCTTTTACAGCAGACAATGAACCTTCCAGCGTGTCTCCGGAGTGTGGGAGAAACCCACGCAAACACGGAGAGAAGGTGAAAACTCCAGGTATTTGACCTCGGCATCCAGGGTAAATTATTATTATTATTCCTTACATGTGTATAGACCTTTTCCGGACACTCCTCTCGAAGCGCTTTACAGGTACTGGGGATCCCCTCCACCACAACCAGTGTGCAGCCCCACCTGGATGATGCACCAGTACGCTCACCACACATCAGCTCTCAGTGGGGAGGAGAGCAGAGTGATGAAGCCAGTTCAGAGATGGGGATTATTAGGAGGCCATGATTGGGAAGGGCCAATGGAAATTCTGGCCAGGACACCGGGGTGACACCCCTACTTTTTGTGAGAAACACCCTGGGATTTTTAATGACCACAGAGAGTCAGGACATCGGTTTTACATCTCATCTGAAGGATATCGCCTGTTTACAGTATTGAGTCCCCGTCACTATACTGGGGCATTAGGACCTACACAGACCACAGGGTGAGCGCCCCCTGCTGGCCTCACTAACACCTCTTCCAGCAGCAGCCTTAGTTTTTCCCAGGAGTCTCCCCTCCAGGTACTGACCAGGCTCACACCTGCTGAGCTCCAGTGGGTTGTTGTGAGTTGCAGGGTGATGTGGCTGCGGGCCTTAAATTCCCAAAATACGGGGCTGATATTGATGTTATAGCCTTTAGCAGCAGAGCGGGATTACTCATTAGTTCGATGTTTGCTGGAACGGGCTCGTAACGTGAATGCTATTACGGCATTCCCAAGCGTAACGCTCCTTGATAACACACGGTAGGATCTTGCATAAAGGCCTGGGGGAGGATCAGAGTTCTTACCAGGCATGGCGTGGTACACAGGCATATTAAACTATAAATCTCGAAGAAGAAAAGTAAAGTATTTACAACAAAGTAATCATTACCCTCAATCCTGAACCCCTTGTGAATTGCAATAGTTCATCTATTATTTAAAGTGTGCAGCAAGTTTCTGCATTGCCTGAACTGTCTCAGCTCCGCTGAAAGTTGGTAATTCTGACATTTGCACAAGAAAGCCGGCGATCAATATTTAAAGCTAATATGTAGGCAGGGTAAGCAGGCATTCTATTTTTTTTTTTCAACAACTGAGACACAGTCTGAAATTCAGGTCTTATTTTGCTTGCGTGCACTCGTTAGCTCATGAATTCGGTATTCGAGTTATTGCCCTGTTTGATGGTGACGCTCGGGGGACAGAGCGGTGGCGCGATGATCATCAGTACGGCCTCGCATTTAGGCCTTGGGTTCAATTCCGGACCCGAGCTGCTGTCGCTGTCTGCATGCGGTTCATGATCGCCTGGGTTTCCTCCGGCCGCTCCGGCTTCTTTCCGGCTCTGCTGTGTGTGTGTGTCCGTCTCTGTGTGCGCCCTGTGATGGACTGGTGTCCCCGCCTTGAGCTTTCCTGGACAGGCTCTTGGCCACCCGTGACCGTGACCCGGATAAGCGCTTGTAGAAAGTCATCATGATGCCTTTCATGGTCCTGGAGGAAGCGGCATTAGAAACGTCATAGATGAACAGTCCTTTCGTTCACCACGTACTGTACATTCACATAGAGAACATTCTGTTTTCTTAACAATCGGGTGAAAAAAAGTTATTTCAAAAGTGCAACGTTGTTTACCCGCTCATTTTAATGGAAGTCTTTTCTTAAGGTGAACTTATTGAAACGCCGTTACCCAGTGTTGTTGTCACATAAATGTCTGGCATATAAAATAAACAGCAGCTGGTTTCGTACTAAAGGTATTTCGTAAGTACTCTAACCTTTTTCTCGACGGAGTTTTGTAGCTGGTTGTGGCCATGCATTTTCCCTTGACGAGCAGGGCCGGTTTTCACAGAAGCCAGCTCATCTAGGAGGATGTTTGTGGACTGGGAGAGGAAACACACGGGCGGACCTACAGATTCCAAACAGACAGCGGCATCCCGGCTCTGGGATTGAACCCGGAGCCAGAGCCCCTAGCGCTCCAAGGCCGCAATGCGCTGAACCCACATCTCATCGCCGGGGGTCTACGGTGAAAGTCACACGCTGCTGTCGGGGAGCTATAGGAACTGTTGCAGAGACGGTTCCGGGGGACCCTGCCCTGATCCTCTCGGAGAGCCCCATGCATCTGTGTTTCACTGGTCACACAAGCCAACGTGCCGCCAGTCCCGGCAGAGACCAGCAGTACGCGGTCCTCGCTCGGTCTCCTATGTACCTGAGAAGGTTTATTCCCTGCCGACAAAGGACGAAAAGACACACAGCGTTTCGGCTGTGGAGCCTTCTTCGGGTCAAGGCTCCACAGCTGAAACGTTGTGTTTCTTTTCTTCCCTTTCCAGCAGGGAATAAACCTTTACTCGTTCCTACGCATGCTGACGCAGCTACCTTTCTGAACTATTTCCTCCTATGTACCTGACGGATCAAAAGGTCTGTTCCTCTCGCTACGTGAGGCCTATCGGTTTCTTTCTGCGCCTGCGCCGGTCTTGATTTTCACCAGCCTTGACACTCAACAGGTAACGTCACCTCATCGTCACCTGTGCCCGCACAGCTCTCTCGCTAACGAGGGGCTTGTGCAACAAAGTCACTCGAGTTTATCATGGGCAGTCCTGATAACGAATGAATCGACGACAAAACATTTAATCAATACCAAAGATCCTTTTACTTGATTTGAAAATCTACGTGCATAGAGTGATAAGATTCCTTTGATGTTCGCTGTTTGTTTTTTTTCCCTGGACGAAAAAGGAAAAAAACGTGTTCTGCATCGATGTTGACAATAAAATGTATTATTTTAATCGCTTATTAAAATTAATAAACGAACGGATGAGTAAATAGATGCAGCCTTTGAATTTAGATAATGTAGTACATACGTGTTTTAATTTGCAATTTTAGTTCTTAGTAGTTCGATACAGAGGAAAGAAAAGACAAATACTACCCTCTAGTGGTGTTCCTTAAAGTTACTTTTTTTGACAGCTTTCCTTTGTAAGAAAAGCTCGATGACTGGAAAGGCGTTAATCGTCATTGATAATGAAGTAATAAAGCTGATAATGAAGTAAAGAACACAACGTGTCTCACCGAGGAGTTTGCTATTCGTATTTAATATTGACGTAAACTTTATTTTTTTCATAATCATTCCTGGTCATATGCCTCATAACACTGAGCGCATGAACACTGTCTTCCTGTGATTGCTAAGGCAACGGAACCAAATAAAGCTTATTCTTCAGTTTCTTG